CTTATTTCGCTTAGCATAATACTCTCCAGGTCCCTCCATGCTGTCTCAAAGGGTAAGAGATCCTTTTATACTGCTGCATAATATTCCATGGTGCAAATGTACCACAGCTTTTTTTTATCTACTTGTCTACTGATGGGGAATTGGGATGTCTCCAGATCTTAGCTATTGTAAATTTTGCTGCTATGAACATAGGGGTGCATACATTCTTTCTGATTGTAGTTTCTGTTTTCTTAGGATACTTTTCTAGAAGTGGTATCACTGGGTCAAATGGCAGTTCCATATTTAATTTTTTGAGGAAACTCCATACTGTTTTCCATAAGAATTTTTTTTTTTAATTCTCAACCAAGGACATGCTTAGAGATAGCAAGGGAAGGAAGGAGGGAGGGAGGGAGGAAGAAAGAGAGAGAGAGGGAGAGAGAGAGAGAGAGAGACAGAGAGAGACAGAGAGAGACAGAGAGAGAGAGAGAGAGAAATGGGAGAGATATACATTAATTGGTTGTCTCTTGCTCATACTTGATCTGGGCCCTGGGCCAAGGCTGGATGCAGAAGGATCCTACAACCCAGGTATGTGCCCTTGATTGGGAATCAAACTTGAGACCCTTCAGTGCATGGACCAACACTCTAACCAAGTACGTGTGAGTCTGCTGTCGGCCTACTGTTTCACAGCAAACATGTTTTATAAGAAGAAAGAATACACTCTTTAAAAATGATAAAATATGCAATACATAAAGGAGAGAGAGAGAGAGAGAGAGAGAGAGAGAAACATCAGTGTGTGAGAGAAACATTCAGTTGCCTTCTATACATGCCTGGACTGGTGATCGAACTTGCAACTCAGGTATGTGCCCTGACTAGGAATTGAACCCACAATTTCAGTGCACAGGATGATGCTCAACCAATTGAGCTACTCCAGTCAGGCTCCTCTTAAAAATGTTTTTAAACATTCATAAGATCTTTTATGAGTAACATAAAAGGACTTTGTTTTGGTTGTTCAGATGCTTTTTTGTGTGTGTTTCAGTTTCCCACTTCTGTTGCTTAAAGCTGAACTTAATAAAAAGTGACCTTTAACTACTAGTATGATGTGGAGCAAAGTACTATACCTGCACTGGAATACTAAAAAACTAAAAAGTATTATTCTACAAAATACCCAGAAGAGGGCAGGAGAA